CGTTTAGCTATCTCCCTTGCAAGTTTTACGCGCTACAGCAGTGAATGAAATTCTTGGCTCGATTACCATTATTTTCTGTTAAATTTTGTTTTAAAGTTTATTTTCACTATGGTGTCTGAATATTACGAAAGTGATATAGATAGGAACAATATTTTCCATTTATTTTCAGAATAAAAATTTGCAAATCAGATCTCTTTTACCTTCTTCTTTTCGCTTTCTTTTTTAATTTTTCAATTTTTCTTTTGTATTTTATCAAGAAATACATTTGTTTAGGAAGTTCATATTATTATTGGATGTGCTCCTACAACTACGGATGATTTTAATTTAATTTAATGATAATAATTTAAGGAATGTTTTAATGCTTTTAATAACAAAAATCCTTTCATCATTTCGTGTTGATGATCTCCAAAAAGGTCGCACGTTTTTCTGTGGTAAATAATACATATCGTGCATTTTTGTCGTGTTCACAGTTTGGACCATTTCGGACCAGTGTCCCCGGCCCCACTGACGATTCAGTGTTCGTTTATTTTTGGCGGCCTAGGAGGCTGCTCCGGCCGAGGTAGATGGCGACAGAGATGGCAAAGGGGGAGTGATGAGATAGCGGGGCAGTCGCGATGACGTTGGAAAAAGGAAATGGAGATGGGGAATGATGGAATCATAGGCAGGCGGAAAAAAAGTCAATTGGCCGTTAGGTTTTTATGTATAGTCAGGTGGAGTAAATGGTGATTGTTCTCACGAGAACGATGTTGACTGAATTTTATTCCTCTCATGGTGGAACTTAATTACCTTTCCCTTACCGATGCTTGCGACATGCTCTCAGTGTATTCGTAAGAGTACATTGTTGGTGATAGTATAGTAGTACGGACATCAGTGAGATCAACAGATTTTTTCATCCATTAGACAGCAGTCCTTTGACTTTTTAAGCATCAGGAAATGCGGTTTTTTTGGTGATTCAGTGTAGAAAGGCTTCTTTTTAAAGGTTGGGGGAGACACACAGAAATAACCTCACTCTCCTTTTAATTTGGAGCTAATTCATAAAATCAGTGAATTAACTTCTGTTAAAAGCTAATGACAACGAAAAGAAGGATGGGCCAAGTAACTAAATGACAGTGGATATGTACTTTTAGAAGGTTCAAGGCAGTATAATAATATTTGCACAAACACTATTTTATAACCTCTTACTATGATACGGAGGGGGAAGCAAACGAGTTCATCCCGATCGAAATAATTATTTTTAATATTAAACGTTCATGTTGTGCTTACTAACTGATTATTTTTGATATATTTTCTTCAAATAAAATTACAATTCAATTTTTTTTGTTATTTAATGTCGCATCAACATCTAGTCCCTTAGCGACTACTATTGCATTTAACAGTAACATAACTGTGAAGATGCCGCGATGTGGTGATAATACCCACTCTCAAAGAACAAATAAATACAACCATGCCCGAGGCGGGACTCGATTTTTCAGTCCGTGATCGCTATGGTACTACTGCCTTAACGATCTCGGCCATCCGGACTGGCTCAATATTGTCTCCATCAAAGGAACTACCTTGGGAAGTGGCACAGCCCTTGATAAAGGTTCCTCCATTACTCATAGCAGTGCTGGAACTCGGATACCCTCTGCTAGTCGTTTAGGGCTGTTTGAATGTTTTCCAGTCCACCAACATGATCTCCTTGAGGAAATTTATGTATTATTTAGTTGACTTACGTCTCGTTGTTAGATTTTAATGTTCACCTTTAAAACAGCGTTGAAAAACATTGTTACGTCATGTGATTAATAATTTCGTAGTCGTCAACGGCTACGGTCAGTAGTCTCGTAAGTGTAGTGCATTTTTATCGCGGGTGGTGGCAGAGTTCTTCTTCCGGTGGCAGGTGAGATCCAAGGATTACCTACGTAGGCTTGCGGGTATTTTTACCAGCAAAGTATCTCCTACCAACTTGGCACCGTTCCAGACGGGACAGCTTTAAGCTCCCCACTGGTCTTCTTGCATGTGCGATAAGTGGGGCGTGTGAGTGTGTATGTAAGTAGGCAGGTAAAAGGACAAGGAAGAGGAAGGGAGGATTGCGTGCGGTCCGTGTCCGTGGTTTGTAAGGGAATTCTCCCCCAGCAAAAACTAGGGATAACGTAAGGGGGAGAGGGAGAGCACTCTACTTACCTTTGTCGGTCACGTCATGTGGAATTGATGATAAACAAAACATGTGAAATCACTGAATTTCTCTATTGTTCTCCACTCCTTGGTGGTTTCGAAGATATGATATAAATAATAATGAAGCAATGGTAGTATGTGAGGTAGGGGCAAGGAAAAATAGAGCAAGTTTCCACGAATTCTCTTTTTCCACCATATACTCTACATGGTTGGGCTGGGATTTGAATCCCGTCGGTGGAAGGCTATCGGTGAAAGGCATGCCAACTGACCACTTCACCACGGGTGAAGTTCCTCAATAAAACGGGCCCCATTAAAGGATGGGAAAGGAACTCACCGCGCAGGGACTTTCTGAACGAATTCTTGAGAATACTCGAGCCATCTTGGTTCTTCCGTCCCGCTGCGCTAGGCGCGTGTGCGGACGGGGGATGGTGGTGGTGGAACGGCGGATGAGTGCGGTGACTCACTTGCAGTTGCAGCACCCACCGCTGGGGACCGCGACTGGCGGCGTATCGCGATGGGCTATCCGATACAGCGGAGGGCGGCGCGGAGCCAATGGGAGGGCGAGGGCGTGGGCGTGGGCGAGGGCGAGGGCGAGGATGAATGCGAGGGGTGCACCGGACGTCCGCAATCCAAGTCCTCGAGAGGGGCGCGGGGTTGTCGTCGAACTGAACGCAACGAGGGAGAGGGGGAAGGTCGTAAAGAAGTTGATCGAGATTCTGGATTCGTGTGATAAGATTCCCTCTTTCAGATTGGTTGAAGGATTTGTTTTGCCAATCGATTGCCCCATGTGAATCTGGGGACTGTGAGGTGAAGTGAGAAAAAGAAACGTGGTGAACAATTGGGGGGGAATTTGCTTCGTGGATCGATGCCATAGATGTTTCGTATGGCCAAATTTCAAATTTGATTCATAGAATCAATAATAGTGTATCAAGAAAAAGTTTCCTTCTTATACACCATATTTTCAAATCTGGCGAACTAGTTATGGATGTGGTACACAAAATTAGATATGTGAAAATTAATGAAATCTTTTTCAGGCTTTCGAAAATGTTGTGAAGAGGTTTTTATGATGCTGGAGTTTACTATCTAAAAAACACATTTAGCTCGCGGACAACTAAATATTTAAGCTACAAATTTTGCTCATTAAATGGCGTATCTCTGTAATATAAGTTCAAATTTCTTATTCTAGTGAGTAAATGTTTGAAATTTTCGCGTCCACACATTTGGTATGGGTATATATATGTAACCACAGAATGATCATCATGCAATTAAAATACTTAAACGTTTTATAGAAAGAAATTTCAAAACAAGTAAGAAAATTTGGATCTCGGAACAACACTGAAAAGCCTGTTGAAGTAAAATAAATAATCAGAAATAATGCTGTAATAGAAAGTGTTGTGTTATAATACTGTTGATAAATTTTGGAACATTAAAATTACAGACTTATCAGTACTAAATGTATTATAATATTTATATGAAATCTTTTTTCTAATCAATAATATAATAGTATTTCAACATTTTCCGGTATTAGAATACTAATTTATTAATTTTCATGTCCATTTATCTCTATTATTAAATGAATTACTCGCAAGACAACTAAAATTGCACTAAAGAAATTTAAGTAAAGCATTTCAGAATTATTGTAAACAAAATAAGTTTCAAATTAGGATAAAAAACACTTTACATTACGTTTAAAATTTATTTTTATATAAAATTACCGTTGTAGAGTTAAACTAATGAACAAACATTCACTACATCTCCATGCCATTAAGCAAATATTTTTTTCACATATGTACATTTTTAATTTGTAAACTTCACTGAAAATCTTACTTGTACAGAGCATACTGAAGAAATCTCAAAACGATATAAATACCGAGAAGCTTACTAACTATTAAATTATCGAGATTTGTTCTTCAGAGTATTAAAGACATGTTTTCTGAAGATATCTAGAAAAACATTACTGAAATTAAAGCTCATGTTTGAACATGCGATTGAATACAATGTATTTTCTATAAATACAAAATCTTTAAAAAACATTCAGAA